TATTCTTGTCTAATTTCACTTAGAGCATTTGTGGTTTGCTTTTATGCTTTCATTTATGCTTGGCTGCTGTTCACTTATTTAAACATCCTCAATATCTTCTGGCTTAATAATATTCTGAAAAGTTATTATTTATTATTTGTGTTACCATAGTGCCTAGGAGCCCTAGTCATGGACCAGAACTGGATTGTGCTAGGCACAATGTAAATACAGAACAAAAAGATGGTACCTGCCCAAAAGAGTTTAAAATCTAAGTAAGAAATGTGTTTCCTGTAAGAAATCATAATTATTACATCAAGCTTTTACAGTGGACAATATACTTTTAAGTGACTATGAAATAATTTACAGAGGAAAGTGGAGACTAAAAAGAAGAAAACATTTGAAATGTTTATGATGTGAACATGGCAGGCAGCATGTACAACCTTTTCCCTTTTGGGCTTTATTTGGTGCTCTAGTAAAAGGGGTATATTGGAAATGTATTTGTTATTGTGAGATATTTAAGCAATAGTGGCTTGTTTAGAGGACTTCAGTTTGTCAATTAATGACCAGCTAGTGGAGGTTAGACCCCAAACTGCATAGACTGAACTCTCTTAAACCATGATAAATGATAAAAAGCCCTGGTGCTAAGTCTGTGAGTGCTCCAGGGATCATGAACCCACGAACAAAAAAAAAGGGGGGTGCTCAGCACACACAGACTGTAGCCCCACCTGCACTCCACCCTGAGGTCTCACCCCCACTAGTCCTCTTCCCCTGAGGCCCCTGCCGCTCACTCCTCTCCACCCTCTCTTCCCGTCATTCACCCTTAAGGCGGGGGAAGCAGAAAGGAGAGAGAATCGGGAGGGAGGTACTCGGAGGAGGGGGCAGAGAGGAGTGAGCAGCAGGTGGGCATGTGGGGGGTCTCGGCGGAGGGGCAGAGGAGAGCAGTGGGCAGGGGGTTCCTCGGGGGAGAGAGCGGAGAGGAGCAAACGGCGGGTCGGGGTGGAGAGAAGTGAGCAGTGGGCGAGAGGGATGGAGAGGGCAGGGGAAAGGAGTGGGGGGCTCAGGGGAGGGGCCAGAGAGGAGGAAGCGGTAGGTGGGGGGGGGGGTCTCGGGAAGAGGCAGAGCAGGGATAGAGGCGGAGTAGGGGCGGGGCCTCAGGGGAAGAGGCCGAGCGGGAGCGAAGCGTTGGGGTAGAGTGGGGTTGGAGCACCCACCGGTAAAAAAGAGAAGTCAGTGCCTGTGATAAAAAGGTAATTATTGCATAATGTTTTTATGCTGGGACCACCACAAAGATAATCAAAACTTCTGTTCTCATAACTGAATCTTCAAAGAGATTTGTATGTTTCGGGTTGGGAGGGAGGATAGTAATGGAGAGGCAGTTTCAGGCCTTCAGGAATGTCTCAGCAAAGCAGCCATGGCTATATATGTTGGGAGTTGAGGAGAGTTGAGGAAAAGGAGGCAACCACTTTTTATTTTTTCTGAAACAGTTCACCCATCTTTGCTGCAAACAACCATATTCATAAGTATTAATGAGACTTTTTCCAAAGTTAAAGTAGGATACATGGTTGCATGTTCACCTTGAGGCCCAAACATATGGTGCAGATGCTTGAGACTGCACTAATAGCAGAATGATGAATACTGTACAAATAATTTGAGCTGATCTAAAATTATAGAAAATAGATGCAGTTATTTTACATTTACGTATATGGAGGTGTTGATTAGGTTACAGTGAGTTTTTAATTTACAGTAGGAATTCAAACTGTTTTCCATACACAATACAGAATATCTTCTTCAAATTTATAGACATAATCTGTGAGTAACTTTTCTGAGAGGTTTTAAATAAATTATTAATTAGTTTGAGTGTCATTTTTAAAAGTGGGCACTTTACAAAATTTGTTCTGCTGAGTCTCACCTTTTTTTGGTACAATACCTAAAACAATCACTGCCTACACAAACTCCAAACTTTATACATCTCATACTCTGAGAACATCTCAGATACTTTTTTAAAAAAACATGTATTTACTTCATCACCTAGCATTTTATGAGGTAGCAGAGCTAGTGAAAACTCTTCTCCCTTAGCAGTAAATTTCCAAAGTGTTCTCCTGTTTCAAAATGGCCACCTGTTCTCATTGTTATAATAGGCCTGAGGCCACAGGTTTCCCCCATCTTTTCTTTACAGCCAATACATGTGGCAGTTTTTACTGCTCTTAAGAAAGATGGCCACTACCTCCCATTGTTCCCAATAGGAGAGAAGCCAGGCTGCTGTCTGGAAAAAAGGTGGTTCTCACTGATATAAAGAGGCAGTGAGAACCCTGGAAGGTGAAAAAATATTTGGGGCAAGAGTGGGGAAAGGGAAAAGGTTTACAAAAGTGTGAGTGAGTACCCCTGCACATAGACAATGGAGATACTCGCATTATTTAGTCAGTGCACACGGTGGACTTGGGCTAAGGGTCTGTTTTAATTGCAATATAGACATTTAGGCTTGGGCTGGAGCCCCGGCTCTAGTGCTTTTTGAGGTGGTAGGGCCCCAGAATTTCTGCAACACAGTTAAACAGACCCTTAGCCCAAGCCCCCTGAGCCTGAGTCAGCTGGTTTTTAATTGCAGAGTAGAAATACCCTTAATGTTGAATTTAGAGTGGGTGGTGTCCCCAAAAGGCTTAACAGTTGGCAGGCAGGTAAATAACCAAATTATTTATTATTTTCATATACAGTAACTCCTCACTTAAAGTTGTCCCGGTTAAAGTTGTTTCATTGCTGATCAGTTAGAGAACATGCTCGTTTAAAGTTGCGCAATGCTCCTTTATAATGTTGTTTGGCAGCCGCCTGCTTTGTCCACTGCTTGCAGAAAGAGCAGCCCATTGGAGCTAGCTGATGGGAATTGGAACCAGGGTGAACCAGTAGCCCCCTATCAGCTTTCCTGAGTTCCCTATGCAGCTTGCCAGGCAGTTCAGCCATCCCTCTCCCAACTGTGGTGTGCTGCTCCTGCCCTTTGCCTTGGAGCTGCTCCTGGAAGCCTCCTGCTTTTTGTGCAAATGGGGGCGGGGGAGAGGGAAACGAGGGCTGCTAATGTCAAGGTGTCCCCCTACCCGTCCTACTCCTTTACCTCATCTCCACAGAGCGGGGGTGGGGGGACACACGACAGGACAGGGCTCAGGATGGGGGAGCTTGCTGGGAACGGCTGCTGTCTCAACTTGCTGATCTACTTAAAAAGGCAATGTACTCAGAGTGGGGTCAGCCTACTTAAAGGGGCAATGCTTGTCTCTCTCTCTCTTTCACGCACATTGTGTGTGCCTCTGTCTCTCTCTGCCATGATGTTTCCCCTCCTTCTATTCCTGTTGCCTTGTAGAGTGTGAGGCTACATTAACAACAACGTGTTAACCCTTGAGGGCTCAGCGGAGTGCTAGTTCATCATTTAGCAGTAAGGCATTCCCTGGGAAATATCCCACCTTCTTCCACCCTCTGACTTCACCACCTCCACCAAGTGTCACAATCTTAATTGCTGTGTACGGTATTAAATGGTTTGTTTAAAACTTATACTGTGAATATATAGATAAAAATATAGTATTTTGTCTGGGGAAAAAATTTTCCTGGAACCTAAACCCCCTATTTCTTATGAGGAAATTGGATTCGCTTAACATCGTTTCACTTAAAGTAGCATTATTCAGGAAGATAACTACAATGTTAAGCAAGGAGTTATTGTGTTTATTAAAATATGTAAATATTAAAATGATTTTAATGCAATCTAATGGTTTGGTGTCTGATACATGATATTTGATTGTTTGTGGCTGGTCATACTGCTTCTATGGCCCTCTCTCATTTCCCTGTTGCAATCCCTGCTTCTCTTCTCAGGGAAGGGAGATAGGAACAATAATCTTAAATTTCTGGGTTCAGAATTCCACAGATGCTCCTCATCTCAGCAATGAAAAATTCATCTGCATGTGAAATAACTGGAACTGGCACTAGACATGAAAGGATCCCTATTCATTTATCAATCTTGTAAGCCCCCTCAGAAGGTTTTTTTTTTAATATGTAAAGTGAATATGGTTTAATGAGATGGTTTATTGTTGTTGTTATTAAGATTATTTATTATTTGTAGTACAATAGTGCTGAGGTGTGCTAGTCATGGTCCATGACCACATTATGCTAGGCACTGTACAAAGAGAAAACAAAAAAGATGTCCTTTCCCTGAATATCTTACAATCTAAATAGAGAAGACAGATACATGGTGGGGGAAGGGACTATAACACACAACCAGAGACACCAATGTGATGATGGCAAACGTCATGTTAGTTACATGATGTTTTATTTATTTTTGTTTTTTGGGTGGGTTTAATAAAAGGGATCAGCTAAAGGGAAGGGAGAAGGGACATTGAAGGGAAGGTGGTCTGGGCTCAGGGAAGTGGGGAAGAGGAATGATGCTGAGATGAAGAGAGTGTGAGGTAGAGGGAGATGGAGAGGGTTGGAGCAAACAGCCAATCAGCACAGAGCAGAGAAAGTCCAGTCAAAACTGGAGAAAGTTCTTCAAAGGACGAAAGGTCCTTGCTTTGTCTGCTTCTGCTCCTGTTGGCTGTAGTGACTGTCTGGCTCCTCTTTGCAGCTTTCTCCCAAGCCCAAGTGAAAGGGGAGGAGAGACATCACCTGGGTCCTAGTACCCCCATAATGATGGGTCTCCCTTTCACAGTTCTGGGTTGAAATGGGCTCCATTTTCTCTGGGCTCCATTTCCTGTCTGGGCTCCATTTTTTCCTCTGCTCCCATTGCAGCAGACCCTGCTTTGTCTGTGTCTGTGATACACGATTCCTGTTTCTTTGTATTTTTCAGCAAATTAACATAAATATAATAATCTGTGCATGGAGGAGAGAGGGTCAGAGATGCAAAGTAAATGCACTTTATCCCATTTTGTTATATGGAACAATAAATTTATGTTGTGTGTAACAATATCTATCTCTGTATAATGTAACATATATATTTGCATGGTGTATGACTCTCAGCACATATTAATTTGAACTATTTTACAATCTTTTAGGTGGCCATAATAGCAGGAAATTTTGAGCTGGCTGAATATATCAAAAATCACAAGGAAACAGATATTGGTAAGTTAAAATATTTACAAAATAGTGACAATGAAAAGCTTTATGGAATGTTGATTGGAAATCTTTAAATCCAGATTTAAATCCTATAAAGAACAGTTAAATCTGGTTTTATGTGAAATATAATCAGAAGGCTGACTGTGCGGTTGATACAGAGAAATATTCTAAGTTTTTTTCCATTTTCTAAAACGTGAAGAAATAGGAAAAAGGCCAAATTGTTTTTCAGAGAGTACTTTGTTTTAGAAAATTGGATATAAATACCCCTACTGGATCATAGGTGTGTTCTGAGTAGGTGTGATTTGTTTTGGAGAGATTAAACACACACACACACACACACACACACAAGCCAGAGAGGGCCAGATTCTCCCCTTCATCAAGGCTGCTGTGCACTGTGTCACCAGTGCAAAGCAGTGCTAAAGCTGGTGTAGCTGATCACAGGAGGATCACCTCAACACAGAGATCCTCCACTGGGTAGGACGTGCATGGCACTTCCTCCCATATGCCATGCCCCCTAACTGCAGCAAGTAGAGGGTGGCTGAAAGGAAAGGATGATGTGTGGGTCAATCCCCTGTGATAGCCCCTCAGGGTATACATACTTTAGATCAGTGGTTTTCAAAAAAATTTCTGGGGACCCAGTTGAAGAAAATTGTTGATGCCTGTGACCCAACGGAGCTGGGGATGAGGGGTTTGGGGTGTGTGGGGAGGGCTCAGGGCTAGGGCAGAGGGTTGGGGTGCGGGGGTGAGGGATACGGGGTGGGGCCGGGAATGCGGGGCTCCAGGTCTGGGCGGGGCTTAGGGCTGGGGCAGGGGGTTGGGGTGTGGGAGGGGGTCAGGGCTCTGGGCTGGGGGTGAAGGCTTTGGGCTGGGCTCTGGGCTGGGGCTCAGGCACTGACCAATGGGAGCCTAGAAGCTGGACCTCCTGCTGGCTGCTTCCAAGGTGCAGTGCGGTGTCAGAACAGGTAGGCACTAGCCTGCCTTAGCTGGGCAGCACCGCCAACGGGACTTTTAACATCCCGGTCGGTGGTGCTGACTGGAGCGATCCAGTGCCTTACATGCTGTGACCCAGTACTGGGTCGCGACCCAAACTTTGAAAAATGCTGCTTTAGAACAGCCTTGAAGCTGCTTGAAGAGATTGCAACTTTATATGTAGGCATGGATTTAATTTAAAATGGGATTTTAAGCTTACTTAGATCAGTGGTTCTCAAACTTTTGTACCGGTGACCCTTTTCACATAGCAAGCCTCTGAGTGCAACCCCTCCTTATAAATTAAAAACACTTTTAAATATATTTAACGCCATTATAAATGCTGGAGGCAAAGCGGGGTTTGGGGTAGAGGCTGACAGCTCGTGACCCCCCATGTAATAACCTCGCGACCCTCTGAGGTGTCCCAACCCCCAGTTTGAGAACCTCTGACTTAGACAAACTGATTCAAAGGACTGTTTGGAGACTCTTATTTCAGTTTATACCAGGTTTATTTCAGTTTAGTTCATTAGTCAGAAACAGGTTCAAGCTAAAGCAAAAAAGCCACTCATTCTGAAATAAGAGTGTCCACACAATCACTTGCACTGGTTTAACTAACTAGTGCAAGACTGTGTGTTGACAAAGCCTCATTTATGCTGGAGCACTGGCACAGCTCCTATCCCACTGAGGATTGCGGAATACAAATGTGGATTAAAGCCATCTTTACAACTCCCTCTCTGAGTGGCTCCCTGTGCTCATTGCTTGCAGTTGAACATTAGATCAGATATCTTGAGTTTTAATCTCATGTGATATTCTTTGTTTATTTTTTCCAAGATGTGTGGTTATTGGACAAAACTGAAGAGACTTGTATAAAACTTAAGCCTTCTAAGTAGCCTTATACTTAACATGGTAGTACACTGAAAACAGCTCCCTTCATTTAGTTTCTGTTTCTTCTTTCTGCATTTACAACCAGTGCTGGTTTGAAAATGTCAAGCTGATGAGGTCAAGCAATTGCTGAAAATGAACCAGTTGCCTATCCCTAATGAGCATGTCACCTTATTACCCTGTGCTTACAACTAGTTTTTGATGGTTCTACAACTTTGTAGATGTTAAAATGAAAGCAGTCAATAGGGCTAATTCAAATGTTCCAATTTATTCCTGCAGTGTTGCTTTTTAATATTCTGGTTTTGTCCAATTCTTCTGTACACAAAGAAGTATTACATTTTTCTGCACATAGTTTATTCTTTTGTTTTAAAAAAATTGTACACTGTGCAAGAAAGAAATCAAGAAAAAGCAGAGTATAATTATTAATTACTGGGCAAAGGCCCCATTACTGAAAAGGGATCCACCTACACGCAGCCCATGACTCCATTGCTGCAATGTCCTCAATATGTGATTAATGCTCAGCTCCACATTATTTTCTCATCAAGGATGGACAGTGTTGTTTCCCAGTTGTCTGAGTATATGAGGGAAAACGGAATGTAGTTGAAAAGTAGCTGGATGAGACTTAGTCCAGGGAAGGAAGGATCGCCTTGTGGCTTAGGCACTTGAGCAGGATTCAGGAGATCTGAGCGTAATTCCTGGCTGTGGCACAGACTTTCTTTGTGACCTGGGGAAAGTCACTCTTAACCTCCCTCAATGCCTTTATTCCTCTTCTGTAAAATGGAGATAGTGACGCTTCATTTCCTCATGTGGGTGTTGTGAAGATAAATTCATCAATGCTTGTGAGACATCTTGGTACTACAGTGCTGGCTATAGATGGATAGGTATGATGGTGGTGGTTGTGATAAAGAGTAAGCATTACTTGTTTGAATTTCTTCACATTAACTTTGATTTAACGGAGGTACTTTTCCTTTAACATTTTTAACGTTATTTTGTTAATAATGAAGTCACAAAAATGTATATTTATGGAATAGTTCCACAATGTGGACAAAGCAGGATACTGAGTGAAAAAACTGAAATAAGGAATGAGAATGGAGCTTCTGTGATGCTGAATGTATAGAGCAATGCTGGTGTTTAAACTTCACCAACTTGACCTTTGTTTATACTGAGTGTGTTATTACCCATTATCTTCATCTATCTTTTGGCTGAGATCAGACATATTTCCATATGAGTAATGCTCCTTTTTAAAATCAGGAGGCTTCATGATGGAAAAAATGACCATCAGACAGCTGAGGAGTGGTTGTAGGAATAAATTTCAATCCAATGTCCTGATGAAGGTAAGAGGGATGATTCAGATTAGGAGGTCTTTTAAGGAAGTTTATTATCTGACATCTCTAGAAAAATGTCCTCTGTTTTAGAGAAGTTCCTGAAATTGAGCAAGATTATGGAAACACATTTTATACCTATGTAACAACAATTCTTCATTAAGGTGGATGCCTATCATCCAAACTTGGGAATATTTAGGAATCTAAGCAACCTTGCAGTGAGTGTCCATTGGACATGGAGGATTCATTGAGGATAGGTCCATCAATGGCTATTAGCCAGGATGGGCAGGGATGGTGTCCCAAGCCTCTGTTTGGCAGAAGCTTTAAAAAAGGGAAGAAGGAGGATCCGGGGAACAACGGGTCAGTCAGCCTCACCTCATGCAGCAGGTCCTCAAGGAATCAATTCTGAAACACTTAGAGGAGAGGGAAGTGATCAGGAACAGTCAGCATGGATCCACCAAGAGCAAGTCATGCCTGACTAATCTAATTGCCTTCTATGATGAGATAATTGGCTCTGTGGATGAGGGAAAAGCAGTGGACGTATTATTCCTTGATTTTAGCAAAGCTTTTGATATGGTCTCCCACAGTATTGTTGCCAGCAAGTTAAAGAAGTGGGAGGGGTTGGATGATGGGCTGGATGAATGGACTATAAGGTGGATAGAAAGCTGGCTAGATCGTCGGGCTCAACGGGTAGTGATCAAAGGCTCCATGTCTAGTTGGCAGCCAGTATCAAGCAGAGTGCCCCAAGGGTCGGTCCTGTGGCTGGTTTTGTTCAATATCTTCATTAATGATCTGGAGGATGGCGTGGACTGCACCCTCAGCAAGTTTGTAGATGACACTAAACTGGGAGGAGTGGTAGATACGCTGGAGGGTAGGGATAGGATACAGAGGGCCCTAGACAAATTAGAGGGTTGGGCCAAAAGAAATCTGATGAGGTTCAACAAGGACAAGTGCAGAGTCCTGCACTTAGGACGGAAGAATCCCATGCACCGCTAGAGACTAGGGACCAAATGGCTAGGCAGCAGTCCTGCAGAAAAGGACCTAGGGGTTACAGTGGACAAGAAGCTGGATATGAGTCAACAGTGTGCCCTTGTTGCCAAGAAGGCCAATGGCATTTTGGGCTGTATAAGTAGGGGCATTGTCAGGAGATCGAGGGACGTGATCATTCCCCTCTATTCAACATTGGTGAGGCCTCATCTGGAATACTGCATCCAGTGTTGGGCCCCACACTACAAGAAGGATGTGGAAAAATTGGAAAGTGTCCAGCGGAGAGCAACAAAGATGATTAGGGGACTGAAACACATGACTTATGAGGAGAAGCTGAGGGAACTGGGATTGTTTAGTCTACAGAAGAGAAGAATGAGGGGGGATTTGATAGCCGCTTTCAACTACCTGAAAGGGGGTTCCAAAGAGGATGGCTCTAGACTGTTCTAAGTGGTTCTGATGACAGAACAAGGAATAATGGTCTCAAGTTGCAGTAGGGGAGGTTTAGGTTGGATATTAGGAAAAACTTTTTCACTTTGAGGGTGGTGAAGCACTGGAATGCGTTACCTAGGAAGGTGTTGGAATCTCCTTCCTTTGAGGTTTTTAAGATCAGGCTTGACAAAGCCCTGGCTGGGATGATTTGTTGTGGATTGGTCCTGCTTTGAGCAGGGGGTTGGACTAGATGACCTCCTGAGGTCCCTTCCAAGCCTGATATTCTATGATTCTAAGATGGGAATAGGCGACGGGGTGGATCATTTGTTGATTACCTGTTCTGTTCATTCCCTCTGAAGCACCTGGCTTCAGGTCCCTTGGAAGAGAGGACACTGGGCTAGATGGACCATTGGTCTGACC